TAATTGTAAAAATGGCTCGATTAAAAATCCAAGATGATTAAAATATCTGATTAAGAAGTGTCTGATTATGAAGGTATCTGATTATGAAGGTATCTGATTTTCTCGATAGAAACAATAATAAATTATTTGAATTGTCAAAGTATGTATAAACGGAGAACCACTGTAAGGATGAAAAAAGCGATCGTGGTCCTCTCGCAATCCATGGTGTCCCATAGACGACGAATAAAGTCGACACTAAAGTGCGATAAGTAATGGCGGGCGTGAGAACTGCAAACACATTCCTCTTATCGGCACACCGTTAGAGAGAACGATAGCAGATTTTTTTTCCCTTCTTTTTTTATTTTTTTTTTTTTTTATATACATGATCTCCAACGAGAAACGTGGTAACGATTACTCTCGTAGCAGCAATCAGTCCCTTTAGTCCCTTTTCACTAGAGTATCCGTGAGAGTCAGAAGTACGTAAAGTTGGTCGTTGGTCTCCCTCATATTTTCGATGAGGGAACACACCTGGAATAAGAGGAATAAGAAATCGTGGAAATCGTTGATATCGATGAGAGACCCTCCTTGTTCATTTACATAATAATATCTACGTTACGAAATTCGATTCGTATGTGTTTAGTGAAAATAAAGAAGAAAAAAAAAGAACAAAACGAGATGATTTCGATGATAGTAAGAAATTCATTTAATTTGGTTATACAGCTGCCACCGTATTTCTTGTTGCATTTCATGCATATTTTATTTCTTTCTATTTATTTTGTTTAATATTATTCTACAGATTTTATGAACGAAACAAATTTATAATCAGAAGACATTAAATTAATTTAATATATATATGCATCCCATATAAATTTTGTTTAACCTATCAAAAAATACTTTAAGCATCCTTAACTTCCGCAATCGATTGTACGTCACATCAACAATCTGTCACTTCAATTTTCAAGGAGTAACATCGAGAACTTTAAGTCCCCGATAAATAAAAGGTTATTGCGGCCCATTCAACGAGTATTTGAGCCTCAAGGGCCCCCAACTATAAGTGGGACAGCTTTACGCAAGTTTTTTATATCCTGGGTATTGTCACGAGTAACACCTATCCCCCCTTACCCTTACCCCTATCTCCCTTTCACGTATCCTCCTTAAGGGCAAGGGATCCATTGATATACGCCGCCATAAAAGCATACTGTCTCTCTCTCTCTCTCTCTCACTCATTTTCATTCCCCCTATAAAAACGAAGAAGAAACAACAACAAAAACAATATATTTTAAAAGAAAAAAAAACAAGAAGAAGAAAAAGGGCTAGTAAGAAAAGGGACGAGTAACGAGACGCAAGGTACGTGACATAAATAAGGGTCCTTCTGGAAGGTGCGAATGGTATAACTGTTTTCGAAGTGTACATTCTTCTTCCTATATTTTTCCCCTTCATTTTATTCTCGAACTAAATTACAAAAAAAAAGAAAATTGTACCACAATCTCAGATTGGATAAAGAAAATTGAAATACTTTAGATTTTTGAACCCTTTGAATGTTGAATATTATCAAACAAATAAAAAAACCAATAGGAGAACAAAATTAAAAGATTACATTCATTCAAAGTTGACCACGAGTTTATGGGGAATTTTTGGGATGAGGGCTGGCTGGCTGAGAGGGTGGGAATGGGAGGAGAGTGTAAATAGGAAGATATAAAGATAACGAAAAGATTATCACGTCCCGTGGATTTTCGGTTTTGATCGGACATTCTTATCTTTAACAAAGATCAAAGCGAGAATGTTGGCGAACATGATTCCCTATCTCTCTCTCTCTCTCTTTCAAAATCCCATGACACGGTGGAAGAAGCCGCGGAGCACACTGTTGGAACCCAAGAATATCGGTTCCTCTTTTCTTCCTACCAATTTGCCTCTTCCCCATGCCCCCTGCCCCCAACCCCATTCCTCCTTCCTCTTCCAAAACTTCCCCACCCTCTCTCCTACGTGTTTTTTACCTCTACCATTCACCCCCTTTATCCCCATTCAAATAAATTATACCTTAATGAGAAGCAACGCGTTGACCGATCGTAAAGGTCCACCATGATGCCGGACGAAGCTGTTGTGAAAACTTTTAGGAGAGCAGGAAAGGATTTAAGAAGAAAAAACAAGAGAGAGAGAGAATGATATATAAGGGGGGGAAGGGGGATGGGGGAGAGGAAGATGAAAGGAAACGGTTCCTCTTCGGTGGCCCTCCTGATTTCTATAATACTACAACGAACTCGCTAAAAATTCTTCCCGTACACCGTTAACCGTTCCGTTTTTAAAAAAGAAAGAAGAAGAAATTTGAATTTTAATCGAGAGAATCAACAACACATTTTTTTGCAGACTCTCGCCAATGAGATTATTCGAAGAATATTCATTAAATTTTGATCGTGTAATTAAAAAATTGTATTACAAGAAAATGAGTGAAGATTTGAAAAAGTACACAAGTTTGTTCTTATTATGCATTGAATTTTTTCGGTTGAAAAGGATCGATAAGAAGTGATATGTATTGGAAAATATGTTGTATGTTGATTTGTTGCTTAATTAACTATTATCTATTTTCAATTTTCTTTTTTTTTTCTTCTTTTGTGGGGAAAAAAACACAAAAATGTATCCAAACTCTTATTCGCAATATCCAAGAAATATAATATTACATGAGAAAGACGTGCGTGGGCCAGATAGAAATCTGAGATGATAAACCGCGGTTAGTTGTTCGGGTCCCAAAAATACCACGTAGACCACAAACTACAAAAGTTGTTCTCTTCTTTTGTTTTTCTCATCATAAAATCATCTCTTGTATCTTTTATGGATGAATAGATATACTTATTAGACTGTTTCGTTATTGTTTTATTTTATCATTGCGAATATATACGTCACATAAATTATTTAATAACTTGAAATTCTCCAATAATGAATATATCTTATTTATGCATGTGTAAAAGTATTGTAATCGTTCTTAATTATAAATGTTAGGAATAATACCAATCTAAAAAATCATATTTTTATTCAAGTAAAATCAATTTTCCTTTATTATTTGCGCAAGATGTTAACAAATTTATTATTGCTATTTATTTGGAATAAATAATTTTCACTTTCATGTATATATTTAAAAATTAAGAAATATGTAAACAAAAAAATTGAAAACAGATAGATACGCTAGCGAAACACTCATTAAATAATTGCATTTAAAATAATATAAACATGAATACAAATAAATCAAAACTTTAAAAGCTTTTTACTCAAAATGGGCTTCGCGTTAGGATGAAATACTTTACCACGATAACACCCTACTAGTATACTTCTAATATACCAAAGCTCGTTAAAATCCGTGAGGGAACAACCGTAAGGTCTCCTTGTAAGTCGATATCGGTAATAGTAAACCGAAATCTGATGATAATTTACAATCAGAATTACCAACAGTAGAAAAATTTGCACAGCATAAAAAAATAACTGACGTCAGTAATACGACGTATCGACCAAGAAGATCTGATGGTAGCCTACCATCAGAATTACCGACAGTTTTTTTTATTATATTAGATTAGATTATAAATACCGGATAAAAACGAACAAACAAAAAGTCAGCAATTGATTGAAAACAAATAACAATAGAAAACTTCATTGCTTTGCTTAAAAATGAGAAAAAACATTTTTGTTTTTTCAATTATTAATAACTAATTAAATAATTAATCAATAAAGTGTGCAATTACAGATTTTAAATGTGCAATTAATGTGAAATTAAGAGCACTTATTCATTTTTTTCTGCTTTTAATGTTCCTTGCTAGTGTTCCTACGGTATTCGATTTCCATAACATCGGTGAAGTTAGCTACCAGTAATAACAGATTTGTATTTTATCGATCGAGCATAAAGGTTAATATTTATTAGATTATACTTCTTTATCGTACCAAAACGAATTGAACTTCCATAACCTAAAAAATAACTTCAATTTGCGCGCGCATTATAAATAATCGACAACTTCGTGGTGTCGATTTTTCGGTCGCAGCTAACTTCACTTTCCAAAATGCGCGCCAAAAGAAGTATAACTTGAAAAATAAAAAAGCCCAGGAATTAAAATCACTTTTAAATGTTCTATAAGTATTATCTTTATTTAAATTTTATTATTTTCAATAAAAAGGTATATTAATTAGTACGTTTTAATAATTATTATTAAATTTACAGCATATTCTACAACTTGTTCTCAAAGAAATCAATAGTTGTCCCACGAATAAATATTTTAAACAAATTCAATGGTAACATACTTTTATTCATAGAAGAAAAACACTTCTACTCTTCAATAAATTCTAAATTTTCGTAGAATTTTGCATTGATATCGAAGAATTCAAAACGTCATAGCAATTAATCAAAATGACGAATGTCTTCTATTATTGTTTCCTCGATCACGTGTTATTATTTTGATATTATTCCACAGTCTCATCCTTCTTACGATCACTATACCTTGGTCTTACATGTTTACCAGTTACGATGATAAATTCTTACTCGGTACAAACTTCTCCGTCATTTTTCGATTACGAAATCGAATGACTCAATTTTAAAGAATTACTCACAGTCGAGTAACATTTTCAAAGATCATAAATTAATATTTTTTTAAAAATCACATAGAAAAAAATAAAATAAAACAATATTTTATGCACTCAATCGATGTTACAGTTGACAACAGATCCAAGATAACGTTAAAATGATGATTTTATCGTTGCCATGACATGTAAAAAGGGGGGGAAAAAAAGGTAAGTAGAAAAATATGTAACAGATGATAGATATAAATAATCTCTTTAAGTGTATTATATTACACGGGGTGAGGAAACGGGGTGGGGTCCCCTTTAACACGGGAGAATAATTTTCGATGCGAATGCTTGTTGTAGTAATAAACGCTAGCTATTATGATTGGAGGAAGCAAGCAAGGTGTTTGTGAGTTTGAGAGGAAAGGAAAAAGAATGAAAGAGAGAGAGAGAGAGAGGATCCAAATGCAGTAGCTGGAAGAACAGCAAAGGAGTAGGAAGGTTGTGATTCGAGTTCGAAAACGACGAGAAGAGAAAGAAGGAAGAGAAGGTAGTGGTTTAGTGGTGTTGGTTAAAGAGATGAAAGAGTAGTAGTAGTAGTAGTAGTAGTAGGAGGTGGAGGAGGTGGTGGTGATGGTAGTGGGGTGGTGGAGGAAGGTTCTGATCAGCTTTGGATCAGCTAGTGCCAGTCCACGTCCACTAGTCTACTCGCACTCTTTCATCGGTGAGTGTGGATTCGTGTCAGAATTTTTATCCCATTCGATTAATATTTTAATAACATTTGTTTAGTTTCATATCTATTAATATTTTTGTTTTATTGTGTGAAATAATATTTATTTTCATTTTCCCTTCAATTACTTGGAATAAGGTAAGCCTTCGATTCGATTATTATTGTTTTTTGTTCTTTTTTTCTTTTTAAATAAATAATTTCAAAATACTTTTTCTTCGTTTTATCTTTTTTATATTATCTTTGACTTTTTTTTTGTTCCTATCTTCGTTTTCTCCTTCATCTTTTCCCTTTTTCTCTGTTCTATTTAGTTTAAGAAAACAGTGATAAAGTGAAAGGGAGATCGTAGAAGTTTTAACGAGGAATTGGAAGATAAAGTCCTCCTCCTGGAGGGGGGTGGTGACATCGTTCAAGAAGAAACAGAATCGTGGCTACGGATGGTTAACGTAAGTTTCATTCATCGTATTATATTTTTATTATATTTCATTATCTTGCAACCAAATGAATTAATGTTTGTCATAATTATTAAGTAATCCCATTAAATGCAGAACTCGGTTAAGGATCGAATAATTATTCTATTAACGTTTAATTATTTTGATTAAATAAAAGAAAAAATAAAAGAATTTCGAGTCAAGGAAGTTGATAAGCGCATTAATAATTCGTTGGACGCATATATGCGTTCACAGTAACTCATAGGATTAAAATAAAAATTCGTCAGTAATAATTCACGAAAATTACTTAAAAAATAGAAATCAAGATTGGGTTCTTTTCTTATTGTCAGAAGAGAAAGGGGGCGAGGTAGGGGTATTGAAATTGATTTGTTTATTCAACAATATATCTCAAAACTTGGCTTGATTCGTTTAGTTTACTATGGAATTTCTAGTAAGGTGTGTCGGTTGCTTGCTATGCGACCAGAATGATTTCTTTCCGTGAAAGTCCCCTCGGAACAGCAGCAGCAGTAACAGTAACAGCAGCTCACGTTCCGAATCTAGCCGGTGAAACGAAAAGCATTTGAACTCGGTTACATTGAATGGTAACACCGTGGGTAAACTACGTGAAAATCATGAAAGTAAAATACAAATGAAATCGAGACACGTTTTGATATATCCGACAATGGCAGACTCTGACTGCAAATGCAGAAGACACTTTCATCGTAAATAAATAAAACGGGAACAAAATGATTTCAAATATATATATATGTATAATTCACAAGAGGAAAAGTTACTGCAAATGATGTTAAGAAAAATCAAACGTTTAATCAATATTTAAATTCATTAATAAGAAATAGAATTAAAAGTATCAATAGTTGATTGATTAATTAACAGAAGAAAATAATTATTTAAAGAATAAATATTATATATAAATATATATTACGAATGAAACGTCACACAGAGATAAAGTAACTTATCATAAAATATATAAATAAAATAGGATAATTATGTCCAGCATTGCACATAAGTTTCGATCGTTTTCACCTTACGTAATTTTCTTCGAAATCGTCATCAATACTCGTATCATCATTTTTATTTATTTCGAATACCTTAGAAAATTGATATTTCGATCATAAAATATTTTACGAATATGTTAACCTTTTAAAAAAAAAATGTCGAGTTTGAAAAAGACAATACGTATATAATTTCATAATAAATATATGATTTCGCGAAATTATACTTCTTTACGAATATAGCCTACATAACCTCAAAAATAACATCAATTTTCCCGCGCATCGTAAATAATCGACAACTTCGTGGTGTAGATTTTTCGGTTGCATCTAACTTCACTTTCCAAAAAGAAGTATAACTTCCAAAATATTATATATATTAAATATATAATATAATAAAATTTATTTTAATTATATATAAAAAATAATATAAAAGTTTTTAGACGAATCATTCATGAAAATTTCAATTTATTCATCAAATTTATTCATAACCAAAAAAGTAAACAACGAAATAATTATCTATCTATCTTTCGTTAAAAGAATTTGTAATAATAATAATAATGGATAAAACTTTGGACGAGTATTAATGAATAGGGAGAAATATAATCACCTGTTCTAAAGTCAGTACAAGTTTTTACAAGTTCCTCGATATGGTAGAGGAACATCGAAGTCGACCAACGCGTTTCTACCTCGCGTAAAGTTCTTCTTCTCCTCCACCTTCACAAAACCGGGTCTTCTTCTTCTCTCTGCGACCTCGAAACACACAAATTACGAAGGCACGAACAACGATGAACGTTTATACGAACCAATAAGAGGCCAGGTCTTCTTCTTTCATTTTCTTCCTCTTCCTCTTCTTCTTTTTCTTCTTCTTCCTCATCTTCTTATTTTTCTTCTTATTCTTATTTTTCTTTCATACCTTTGAATTGAGCCATTATACCACGTGAATTTTCATACCAAGCAGATCATTTTAATCCTCAATGCGAAATTTATAACTAAAAATAATATTTAAGTACCCCCGTTTTATCAAACGAGATCGAGAGTTCAAAACAATTGTGATTAGAATAATTAAAAAACGTTTTATTTAATTAATTAATTTAATTTAATTATAATTATAATTATTAATATTAATATATTAGTTTAATATTTAATTAATATTAAATATAAGCTGATAGACAATATTTTTTGAATAGAATTCATTTTCAAACAAATATTTTATATAAATTCACGAAACAATTGCTATAATAATAATAATAATTATTTAGTAAAGTCATGCACACATGTGCGAGTGATAATTAGAGTTTTAATTATGAATCATTTTATTTTCTCGTATAGTAATATAACATTTAACATTGTCACGTTAATACTCACCCTTTTTAAGAATTTTTTAAGAATTTAAACAAATTTTCTAAAATCAACAGCACACTATTGATCAACTATTCAACAATTAAACGTACTCATTATTGTTTAACTTTAGTTTTTCTACAATAAATAATTTTATTTGTAATAATATTAATATATTACAATGCATTATATTTTGTTAATACATTATGAAAATGTTTCTCGTGTTAACGACACTTGGATTCAAGATATCATAGTTGGTTAGGACAGTAAAGAAAGATGGTGGAAGAGAAAAAGGGATACGATGAACTCAAGAAGAATTCTCAAGGACATTGACAAAGATCCGTTCTTGTTCATTTTCTCGTTCTTACGTCAATTCTTAAACGGTTATATTATAAAATAGAAACAAAATTTCAAACTGAAAAATTATTAATTAACAAATATTTTCCTTAGAAATCATCAGCCATTTTATAGACTTCGCATGAATAAGAAACTATTTCTATCGACAATTATTCGAGAAGAATAAAATTGGATCGTAAAAATCTATGAACGAACTGTTCCGGAATGCATCGGGAAAGTTCAAGCGTGATTTGCGAAAGTGCATCAACCTCGAACACGATTAAAAAAATATATTTAAATAAGAATATTATTTATTCGAAAGTAAATAATATTGAATCAGTATAAAGTTGTAATATTATTTAATCGGATTTTTATTCTCAATATATTTAAAATAATATTGAAAACACACAGAGACAACAACAAAACAAAATAAAATGCATAATTTTTATTCTCAAAGGGAAACGCGCGTATCCGTTTTTGCAACATTTCAAATGATATGCAATATACTTGAATAATTAAAATGAAAACTGGATAGAAAATTAATATAAAAAACAAAAAGAAAAAGGTTGAATATAAAACGTAAACGCGTGTCGTTATACCTACTTTTATAATTAAATTCCGCGTTTAACCGACTTCACGCTTATCCGACGTTGTTCCGGTCCCGTTCAGATCGAACCACCGTATTGTAACAGCTTTTACCATTTGTATCTAGTTATGAAATCAAATCTTACGATTTAAATGGCACGATAAACTCATGCGAGAATTATTAATAACGCATTGGAAAGAAAAAACACTTTTTTTTGGAAAATCATTAATTAATTTCCATGGAAAAAAGTTTTTTCTAATTTTTAATCATTGAATCGCATAGAAATAGGAGACTTATAATTCTAAATTGTCTTAAATACATATATTTTATAAGATTATCTACTGTAAAACTTATTTTACACGCTTCTTGAATATACGACTAGTATATATTTTTATTTGGTATAAATATTGAAAGCATTTTTTCCTATTCAAACGAAAACAAAAGTCAAAGTGATATTTTTGTATTTTAACTTAATTAAATATTATTATTATTATGTTTTTCTCAGCTTTGTGTGTATGTAACTTATGATATATCTTATATCATTTTATTCATCAATTAATATTTTTAGAAATTAATATTTTAAAACATTTTTAACATATAAGTTCATAAGAAGAAATGAAATAAATTATTCAGACATTACTTCTTTCTTTTGCTTAGATATTTTTATTTTCTTTTTTGAATGTATTGATGAATGGTCCATAGTTTAAAGCCTGTCCATCAGGATATTTACAGGGTTGAAGGGTACTCTGGTACGAAGGCCACTTAAAATATTCTTTCCTTTCCTGTTTTTTTTATCGACGTCCAGGCAAATCACTACATCGCAAATCTTAAAAAAACAAATCACGTTTTTGCACGTGTACAAAAAGAAAACGCGAAGAAGAATAAAAAGAATAAGAAGAAGAAGTAATATCGAAAGAAAAGAGACGAAGATAGTCACACGTCTCGATCATTCGAACGATAACGTTAAAACGCTTGCACAAATTTCCGGTATTCTTAGAAGGAGTGGGAACACGAGCTACGGCTTACAAGTTGCTTCATTATCGTGTGAAGGCATCTTTAACGATACCTATACTCCTATTACTCGAAAAACAAAAAAAAAACAAATAGGCAAATATACCTACTTTCAAGCATAAGAAATTTAAATTAGCACGGAAATGATTCAAATATATATATGTGCTTTTTTGTTCCTTGTAATTTTCAATCACCAATTGCAATCGTCGATTGTCATTTATGTGTATTGTAAAAGAAACAACACGTTTTTACATTCATTAAAATAAAAGACAATAGATAATGATAAATAAATATTGCATAAAAGGATTGTAATGTTTCAAACGTAACACATAGAAACTTATTTTTATCAGTTTCATTCAATTTTATTTTTATTATACTCACATATGTTTCCCGGTCACTCCCATATTTTATTTGGAAATTACTTTTGTGTAATTATAATTATAATTTAATTTTTGTACGATAGTTTAAAATCAATTAGATTTCTTTAAAAGTAGAGGAAACACGTAGATATTATAGAAAATTGTTTATTACTTAACATCATTTTGATAATACTATTTTCTAAGGACGGATTATACGAACTATATGGTTTAGGTTTTCATTTCAAATCGCATTTAACTTACTACGAGTGTAACGAACAAATAAAACAAGAAAATAAATGAAAAAAAAGAAAGACAGAGTGAAAACGATGGTGTCTCGTGCACCTAAAGTCACGTTCGCAACACCGGAGAAAG